CTATCAGCTATATCCTCAAATCTGAACGGCAACACGCCCATGTCATTGTATCGTAGAATATAGATGACCAACAAACACACGACATATCTCATCAACCAAGTGTAGAAACAGAGTAATTTACACCAAAGATAATAACATTCAAATAGTAACTTGAAACTAGAAATGCCTTTATTCGTGCAAGTCAATTTAACAATTACTCTCTCGTTTACACTTGGCTTATCCTCACTAAACTGACCATTGATATTCGTCCTTTCAAACGAACTGATACTACCATAGTCATTGCACAAGATACTTGAGTTGATGGGTGTCTGTTTCATTGTGGATGACAGCACCAACGACGACTGATTGATATCAGTTGATGAACTTAGCAGTGGATCAAAAGCTGTTGTTGCTCGCTTTTCAGAAATTTGTCTACCTGCAAGACCACCACCACTGCTGTCTTTTACTATCAGCTCAGGTTTAACACTAGCATCTGATGATAGGTGGGCTTCACTCTGATCAATTACACTGACGGTTTGACAAGTATGCATGCCTTCTGCAACTGCATTCAATTCTACTTCACGTTCAAGTTGTACAGAACCTTTATTTAACTTAGCAGTAGTAGGCATTCCCTCCATTTCATCATGATCAACCAAAGACAAATCTGCACTATCATGATCATTATCACAAATATTCAATTTACCGTCAACTTCATCATTTTCAAACTCTTTAATAACAGAAGTAGACAATTTTGGTTCCTCCTCACAAATCATTAAAGGTTTTATATCTTCACTCTGACTAGTTATACTTTGTAAACTTTTGGAGTCAGAACTCCACTCTGAAGCAGTAACTCTATTCTGTGACACTCTATTCAACAACGGCTTACCAGTTGCAACTACAGACTTCTTCACAACACCGTTATCGTCACACAATTCGGAGTCAGACCTGGAGTTTACATTTAGCTTATCACTGAACTTGCTCACTGGTTCACAGTTCACTTCTGTATGCACCTCTTGCACACGTGTAAAACAAAGCCGTGTTTGCATCTTGTAACTTATCTGTTGAGGATGTACTACGAAACCTGTTACACTCACTAGGTCTATATGCATTACTAGACATCATGGAGTCTTCTCGATATCCACCTCTCTGAGGCTTATTCGTCATCAATGAGTGCGTTTTACCCTCAGACTGCTCTATTCTAGGGGTGAGATCTAACAGACTGGAAAACTTGCTCATAGATTGATTGACACTAGTATTTACCAGTTTCAGGATATCATCAAACTTTGGCTCGATACCCTCATCCTCCATACGGGAGCTTATCTTCACCCACTTCCTTTGCAGTCGAGTAGGTAGACGTCTTGCTATTACTTCTAGGATAAAACTCGAGTTGAGGTCACTCATGCGATTCATCGAAATCATTCCATTCTTGTAAATTAGCAAATTATCTAAAAACTCAGTGAGTGCCTGGGAGTCATCCTGTAACTGACCACCATTACCCTCAACAGCCTCGAATAATTTCCCTGCAATCATCGAAGGTCTTCCAAACCTTTGGCGTAATATGCTCATAGCCTCATCGTAGCCCTCCTTTGGCTTCATAAACTTACAGCACTGTATAGCTCTTGCAGCATCTCCAGTGCAATATCTCATCAAATACATTAACTTCAATTCATCATTTAATAAAAACCACTCAACATGATCTCAAACTCCTTTACAAATTGTAAATAATCAGCCGGGTTTCCATCAAAACACCGTGGTTCAAATTTAGGGAGTTTGATGTTCCTATTATCCCTGAACGGCGAAACAGTAACATCAACCATGTCATGCTTAACATCAGACACATCGTTACAATTAACAGACAAGTCACCATGACTTACTTTCCTGTTTGCATCCAAGACACTCTGTCCCTTCTTTGACCCAGGCATTGTTGAACTTGACCCAATTCCAAAAAGTTCCAGATATTGCTTGTTCAAAGAGGACTTGACCGGCACCAGGAAAATGAACGGCGACTATCCAAACTTTCACCAACTGTTTCAATCCGCCAGATCTGTTTCTATCGTCAGAAACTGTCAGTCACGTCTCATAAACCGTTAATGCCCAGCTCTCGCTACGCTCGGGCCCACGCTGTTCTTAGAAGATTTCTCAGAAACGCTTAGTTATAACGGACGCAAAAACCAAAACACCGATCTGCTGCTTGTTATTTCTTTATTGTTACACCAACATATAAAAGGAATAAACGAACTAAGCAACTAAGGTCTGAAAACAAATATTACAATAATAAATCTTTCTATTACTTCTGACGATGTTTCACTCTTCTTTCTGAACAGCGACCGATGAGACGATGACTGTCGTATTGATGCCTCCGCGAAAATTGGGGAAGTTGATTTTAAGCAAACAACCAAGAATTGATCGTTCAATCTTCAACTCCATTGACAACAGCAGATGAACTATTACCCCTCTTATTTGGTTTAGTGATCTTCTTCGTTATTTTGACTTTCCTTTTAATGTCTTTTTAATTCGACCTAAGTCTATTTTCTCATCTCTTGGCTCTTTATTAATTTATTTATTATACTTATATCAACTTTATTAATTTCATACGTATTCCTCTGATAGGTTCGTGGGCGATCGATTGTTCAAAATGTAAAGACGTTAGACGATTCAGACGAATTACGTATTCTTACTGCTTTGTCTAAATATTCGTTTGTGTCAAAAAACAGTGACTGATGTATACGCACACTTATATAAATTTCTATTAATTCTCACTATGTTAACTCGTCAGTTATTATATTAACAGTGATATTCGTCTTTACATCCTGTTGGGTTCGTTGCTGAAGAAAGTGGTTTCTAGCATCGTTGATTTTGTATTCTGTGTCTTCCTTATTCCTCAAGTGGACCTTTCAATTGTTAACAGTGAATAATAATTCATCGAATGTTGTGAGTGGCGGAGTTTGGGAGATTAGGGCCATGTGTTATGTCGAGTGGCGCGTTTCGAAGAAATGTCCGCCTCTGAGTTATACTGTCGTCAGTATGCAGTACATTCTCGTTCTCATGATAAATTTGTTAGCAGTTATTATTATCAGTACCTATATTTTGTAACAATGTTATACAATAGAACGTACTAATCCAGTAGCCGAAGGTCAGAACTATCTGCTAAGTTTGAAACAGGTGCTCACGTAAGGGGAAAACTGATTATTCGAAGGACAGAACGTCACGCACTTGATGAAGTTAATGGCATCGCTTACATACGAGGGGTTAAGGTTATTTATTTAGAAGTGGTGGCAACTTGTTGATAGTTCAAGGAATGTTTTGTTTGGTAGGAGCAAAGGTTGGACAGTGTAACTGCCTAACGGTATAACTGGATGAGCAACATCAGCTAGCGAGGATAGAAATATTTTGAAGTAAAACACAATCGGGCAAAGTATTTTGAAGACAAGAGTAGAGAAGTTTCCTGAAACTACTAATTTAGTGAGTAACTAAATGCCTTCGAATTAAGACTGTAATTAAATGGCATATTGATAGATTAAGTGATTATCACTATTCATTTAATTTAAAATAAGTGTATTCGAGCACTTCAATCATAATTCTGTCTTTGGAATAACTTAGCAGCATGGTGTCAACTTTTAGTTTTCAGTTACTAAGTAAAGGTTGATATCCCTAGGGTTTTTATTAAAAGATTAAATTGTCGCCAAAGTAAGTGAATGTGTTTATCAATGTATTTGAAGAATGAACAATCAATTCATGGTTGTTTGCTCAAACCCAACTCCACATTTTGGCCGGAGTAACCGATACTGCAGTCATCGTTTCATCGTACGCTGTTCGTTAGAAGACTGAGAAATACTGTCGGAAGTGTTATTGTGATTAATTGTTATGACATTTATTGTTAGACCTTGTGTATAATAACTTTACTTTTGGTTACGTATTGGCGCAAGAGTAAAGGATTCTCGAGTCGCTAATCCATGTTCTGGTTTCTCGCGTTGGTTATTACAAATTGTTTCTGAAAGTCCTCCTGGGACAGCGTGAGGCCTAGCGTAGTAAGACCTGGACTTCGACAGTTTCTGAGAGTTGGCTGACCCAGAGTCTTGCATCTTGAGCATCTTTTACACTCTCCAGGATGATGCGACTTGGCATTTTACTCGGCGTGGACAAAAGCATGATTCGATGCCAGCTCTTGCAGAGGCCTATGTTATCCTTCTTTGGTAAATTCACAGTGTAGCCATACTTTCAGTCAGTGGGTGGCATTTCTTGCCTCTAAACCTTTTGCAATAGTGGCGTATACATATACGCTTCAGTTTCTGAATCCATTCCCAGTGCTCATGGAGGAATTTCATGTGGTTCTGCTGCCTATTCGGATTTCAGTAGCTTAACCACATTCAAGATTTTTGACCAGTCAGATCTTTCAACACATAAACTAAGTACTTTTCGTAGTCCTGTTTGCAATTTTCATCCTGAATCAGGTTTATAATTAAATTTAGGAGGAAGGTAGGGTTACGGTTAATTTTTGAGTAGGACTTGCGAAGAACAGAAAAATTCGGGTGAAACTTAAGATTGTGATTACAGCCAACACCCATTTGAAATGCTGAGCAGCCTGACTATGACTAGGTCTCATTCATCACAGAGGCAATCATTCACCAAAGTTAGTGCAACATGTACTTGGTACTGATTCAGATCCTGGTTTGTTTACTATAAGCACACCTGTTGAAAACTGAGACCTCTTTCTGCAGGGTATTATAGACATATGCTACATAGAGTTCATTTCTGCCATACATATATCCACTAAACATATCTTTTATACTGCAAAGACTACCTAGTGCCTAGGAGCAGATGATTATCTGGCCTGAGGTTATTTGTCTATGGCACCTCTCCTTTACTGTTTTCTGATAGATCAGACCAAATACACATTAAGGAAGGTTTGAAACAAACTTAAAGACTTTTATTCTAACCAAAAATCTGAACCTCATCCTGGATGTGGGCATTGAATATTGTACATTACTTCTCAATAAACGACACTAGCGCTTCTTTACCACATGGTTTTCCAAATTAACCGAGAGTTTGTAACCGAAGACTTTAAACGTGCATTTTATCAGTGTTATAATAGAAAAATTGCAAACAAAATATTTGAAAGTAAGAATTTTCTGTAGCTATATATTTTGTTGTCTATCATACTTCTATTTGGGCAATATATATGTATGAAGAATGATTAAGATGGACACGATTTTGAGCGCATGGCAAGAATGTGAAAATATTAATTAAGTGATGGTTGAAGAGGGGAAGGATTGGTTAAAGAATGGAAAATACCAGTTGACTCCAAGCTTACAATAATTCTGAGCTCATTTTGAACTGTCTGTTGTTAATGCTGTTTATGGCGAATGAATATTTTGTGTCCCCCAAAAAAACTTATTAAGTTATGGATTTATGCTGATAGTGCTTAAGTAATGCGAGCTGTGATGATATAACGCTAGTCTGTGCTGGACTGAGTCTGAGGGAGCTCAAATAACGCTGAAAAACAACTCAGTAGGTTCTGATCTACTGGTGTTAATATCGGAAAAAGTTGCAAAGTGCTGAATTAAAGACATTAATACTGATAAAACGCACTGAGTTCTATTTTGTGTTCAATATCAAAAAATTTCGGAATTTATATACGATAGAAAGTAAGCCTTAGTTCAGAATTTGAGAGCTTTACTTCAGACTTGTTGTAAGCTTGAGTAATTATCTCATTGGACATAAATCTGATAGGTTATATATATATGTATATATATATATATACTTTGATTGGATACTGGTAACTAGTGCGATGTATCTAGTCCTCTCTTTGGTGCAGACTGAACTGTCAGTTGGGTTTGCAATGTGGCTACCATTCTAGGTAGCTCACCATCACTGTGCACATTGATTTGATGATATTAGATTGTTGGTTATTTACGTATTTTCACTTTAAGTTGAATGAAATATGTATCTTTTTTACGGGATACAAACTGTAAAAATTTCCGAGATTTTCGAGGAGTAAGATTTATAGTTATTCTGGAGGGAGAATCACCTTAACTTCTATATTATTAAACAGTTGCACAAAGAAGATCTAGTACACTTTACTACTGAATTTAGTTTCATTTTTTCAAGAAAATTAAATCAGAAAAATTAGCTCAAATTTTAAACACATATATGGTATACTTATTAACACTTGTCGATCAGCTTAGTAACACATGAATATCGATTTCAAGAGACGGTGTCACTTGAACTGCCTAGCTTTCTGTTCAGAAAGTTGCGATTGGAGGAACTGAGCCTGTATGTCACCGTATGTGCTAATCAGCCGTCTCATGAACTAACAGCTTTTTGGAATGTGTATGTATTGTGGTTGTTTAAACACTATTCCCAGTTGAATTAAATAGTCCCAAACTAAGTTACGGCACACTGTTAGGTCAGATTTGTCAGAATGGGAACTCAAGTCCCTACAGTGGGACCTTAAATCCTATATCATGGTGGCACCGAACATTAATAATTATTATGTTATGTTTTGCCTTTCAAAATACCTTCGAAGAGCCATTGTCAACAAAATGAGCTTCTGAACGGTTTATATGGTATGGTATGTTCAAAGTAATTGCAGGAAATATATGTAATCTGAATGAGACAACAGAAATAGGGAGTAATGTGACATGATGATGTCATCTGTGATGCTTCCCCAGGTTGTAGCTCAGGTGAGTGGTTGTGTGGTTGCAACTCATGTGCATTGAAAATGGTAGACATGAAAAGGCTAGCTGCCTTTGATCATCGTTGTCTACCTTGTATCTGTTGTGTTAAGTGGTAATAACAGTGTGAGTGATACTGAGGTTAGACGTCGAGTGCTAGGTAAGGAGAGGAAAGCGATTGACGACGTTGTAAAGTTACACTGATTGAAATGGTTAGGACATGTGTTACGTACGCCTGGCCATCGCCTTCCTCAACGGGCAGTGTCAGGTGACTGACATAAGATCGATGAGTTTGCAAAGAGTAGGAGCTAGTGGTGGTCAAACCAAAACATGGCTTCATCAGTCAATAAAATCCACAACAGCTAGTTTAAGCTAGCCACGCTGGGAGGTGTAGACTTCCTGTTTGGGGTCCTCGGGATGGTAAAAACCAATCAAAGCTGGAGACAACTGGTGATATGGCTAGCTCAAAATCGTCGTTGTCAATGGCTGGTGCGGATGCATCCACTCCGTGTGACTTATAATATACAATGAAACTATGCTGTTCTTCCATACTGCTATTCTTTTTGCCTCATATTTATGCTTATTATCCCTCTTTACACTCTTCTCTCGCTTTGTGTGACACATGGAGTGTGGCAACTCGAACTGCTGCACATCTGTGCAAAGTTCTATGTTGAAGTCAGTGAGTCATTGGTCTCAACTTAACGGTCTGAACTTGAGGTTTTCTTTGTTGTTATCGACAAAATCAAGATTTTATTCATGTACGCACTACAGCTCAAGCGACTACAGAGATTTCAGTTCCTTCCTAATTTAGCTGTTTGATTTACTTAAATTACACACAAACAACTGAATTCTGATTGTGTTAGATACTTCACTTTTAGTTTTATTGAAGGTGAGTGTGTTTACGAAAGTGTTTGGGTGCTTATTACTTCCCTGCTACCCACACTATGGAAATTGATTTCTTCTTGGGGTAAGTGAAATAAAAGGAACATTAGAGGTGCGTGATTGCAGATCTTTGGTGATGACTACTTGTGGCCGGTCACATACAGTCTGGTATAGCTTCCAGGAACGTTATTTTCGGCCTGTTGGGCTATTGCGATATGCAAGCCTGAACACCAACACTTCAAGGTAGTAGGATTAACTTTATTACCTGTTCAACACAGATTAAGATGGCTGAATTCTGATTCCGCGAAGTTATAGATAAAGGCGTACTCAAGGTAGTTTTCAAACTGAACAAGTAAGCTGAAGCACTTCATTCATATCTTGTACAAGGACTTCTTAGATGTAGCGTATATCAGTTTCGACGTTTTCCAGGGTTATTAATTGAATCCACATACTATCCGTTCTCGTATAAGGAAGTAAAAACACAGCACAGACTAGAGTTAAACATTACATTTGACGTCGAAATAACCATGTTCGACTTATTACTCCTGCATACCTTAGTATTTGCAAACGAGAATACCAGATATTGATACAGAAGTAGTAGTAACGATAATGCAACAATCACGTATTGACTGTGATCCCAATAAAAGAAGGAATATGTATGCATTATTTCGATGATATTAGTCAGAGATGCTTGGTCTCTGTTGACATGGCTTTTCTTAAGGACACTCATCAACTCCCTAAGAAAAATTCGATGTTGCTTGGTTAGTGAAAGTTAGCAGTGTCCTGATGGATAACATAAATTACGTGTATTACAATCCGCTATGCGCCGGACCCACGCCAGGAGCTGATTTTTAACTATTACTGATGGCACAGAGAAGTATGGATCTCATCACATAAGAAATTACTTACTTGAAACCATTAAAACCAAGTCAGAATCCTATAGTATGTTAGGCTGATATGTAAATTTATATAGCGACATATCTTTGGAGGTAGTGTTACTTTTTTCCAATACCAGTTTATTACTAAAGAAAGTTTGAAGAAATTTAAGAGAAGTGTACTGGATAATAGGATTGATAATGTAGTCGAAATAACAGTTAGACATGTATGCCTGAAATATAACATCCCTGTATAATAGTTTGGATAAAAGTATAATATCTGAAGCTGTCTAACAACATGTGTCTTCACTATTTTTGTCTCTTTGTATTTCACCTCTAAATTTTCCAGCAGAAATGAGACTTTATATGGAGACACAGAATAAAAATTAGTAGAGTATCAAAACTATCCAGATATCTAACTGAGCACAAAGTATGCAAAGGTCTAAAAGTTTTCTAGGAAAATTGCCATCTCTAGATCTATGGTAGCTAATCACTTATTTTTTGTTTAGACGAAAGATACTACAGCATTTACTAACCAGCATTCATTTGTTTCGACATGATGCATGAGTTTTGTAATACTTAGTGTAGTTTCTTGTACCCTTATTCTTGACTAGTGTGTATATTTTAACTTTATAACTATCTTTTTACAGATGGTAGCCTAATAGATCACGAGCCGTTTACATTCGCGAAATTCGATAGTTTTATCCAGCTTGAACAGATAACCGAAGGTATCCTTCGCTTACACACCATTTAAACATTATGCATGTATAGAGATAATAAATACAGGACAGTTAGTGCATGAGGTGAAAAAAGAAATTGAAAAGTTACCTTTTGTACAAAAATGCAATGACTTGTATACATTTTCTCAAAGTTGTGATATTTTAAATTTGTGCCAAGATGTAGAGAATCCAAATAACTCTGCGACATGTCCGCTTATTATAAGCTTTAGGTGAGTGTACTTAACAACCTGTGTTATTCGTTGTACATTTTCTCTTTTCACGTTTTTTTCTTGCATTTCCTACACATGGTATAGAGTCTGTAAGGCTGGTGACTTAAAATTTTCTAGTTGTAGAAAAAAACAACAATCAACTTGGACGATTTGTGTGAGCTTCAGAAATACCTATTTTATGTATTACTGAAACTCTCATTTACATGTAAATCTAGTAATGACACACTTTACGCAAGTGCTCCAATCTAATGTTCTGTCTGCCAAACTGATAATTGGAACTTTTATTGTGTACTAGGTATTCCTACTGGCACCCAACAATCACTGTATTCCTTAACCTAAAGGCGGAATTCGATTCTGTCGACCAAGAGGTTCTCTGGAGATGCTTAGCTGTAAAGGGAATACCGAGAAAATACATTGCACTGATCAAGACACTCTACTCGTACTCATACAGCCAGCCAGGTAAGGGCTTACGGCGAGTTGTCATCTGAACTGGTGACGACTAGTGGTGTCCGTCAAGGATTCCCATTATCCCCTTTTCTATTCAGCTTCATCACAGATGTACTAATGGACTTAACCCTAAGTGACTTCAGCGACTCAGGGATTGACTTGCTACCAGCAAGGAATAATCTCGTTGACTTGGAATATGCAGACGATATAATCCTTCTAGGCGAGGACGCTGACAAAATGCAGGGTCTTCTGAACACCTTGATCTGCAATTTACAAATGTTTGGCATGCGATTCGCTCCTGCTGTCAAATGCAAGATGATGTTACAGGACTGGACTACACCGACTCCTAGATTAGAAATAGGGAGCAAAGTGGTAGAGCACGTTGACCGCTTCACTTATTTGGGAAGTACCATCAGCCAGTGCCAACGGGTTGATCTCTGATGAAATCTCAGCACGGATACAGGGGGCTCGTTTCGCATTTGCCAGTTTACGCCGACTCTGGCGTAGACGAGATGTTCGACTATCGACCAACGGGCAGGTGTACTGCTCATCAGTCCGCTCCGTCCTCCTTGGTGATTGTGAGACCTGGCGACTGAGAGTTGAAGACATGAAAAGACTAGCTGTCTTTGATCATAGGTGCTTGCGTTCTATTTCCCGTGTGAAGTGGCATAATAAGGTGAGCAACATTGAGGTTAGGCGTCGAGTTCTAGGTAGGGAGGGGAAATCAATCGACGAAGTTGTGAAGTTACAAAGACTGAGATGGTTAGGACATGTGTTACGTAGGGCTAGTCATCGCCTTCCACGACGAGCAATGTTAGCTGACATAGAGTCAGGCTGGAAAACAGCTAGCGGCGGTCAAACCAAAACATGGCACCAGTCAATGAAATCTAGAACAGTTAGTCTAAGCCACGTAGGAAGGTGTATCCTTCTTGGCTGGTTGGGGTCCTCGGGACGGTAAAAATCTATGGTTGGTAACAACTGGTGACATGGCTCAAAATCATTCTCAATGGCTGGCCCAGATGCATCCACTCCTTGTGACTTATGATTTCCAATGAAACTGTTTCGTTCTTCGTTATTACTCTTCCTTTGTCTTACACCTCTGTTTACTGTCTCTATTATGCTTTTCTTATACTTTCTTCTTTTGCTTTGTGTGCTACATGGAGTGTGGCGACTTGAACTGCCGTATATATGTAGAAAGTTTTATGTCGAAAACAGACAGACTATGTATCAAAACATCTGCTGTGGAGAATTTGTTCACTTTTTGTTTTTAGGATTGTAAGTGTAACTGCCAAAAGTTATTTGAAAGACAACTTAGAGGGTTTTTCCACGTAGGATTAAAATCATCACTTATCTTCAAAAAGGATCTATGTAAAGTATGCAAAAAATGACCACTTTGTTATTCTTTAACGAATATATAGACTGTTGTCATGCTTTGATAACTCAGGAAAAAAGATCATACACAAGAAATCAGCTGGGCTTCATACAGGTTCTTGTTGGCGCATTGAATGAACATTCATTCATTTGTCATCAGATTTTCGAGTATTCTCACATGTATTCTTGGCTAATATTTGTTATGGCATAGTAATTGTCATCAACTTGTTAACCAGGACTGCGATAAAGAGTTATTTTCTTAGTTTGTTAACATTTTAAACCCCTCCCCCTACAGTAAACCATTTCTTTTAGAGTGAAAGTGTATAGTCTTAATATTCCCCATTGTTCCAAACCTCTTAGGTTTTGAATGGATGACATACTTTTCTCAGGGCTTAAGTTTTCGCCGTCTCACTAACGGCTGTACCACTGACTGCGTTTAAACTTTAGAACGGGTCGGGGGAAATCGAAATCTGTGAAGGTCGACTATTCCAGATAAGCATTTATTGATGTTTCGTAAATTCCTGAATAAAGCAAAACGACTGTGACTTACTAGCTTGAAAAATTATCCCCTGCCGATGTACACTTGATATCAATGGTTGGCCTGATAAGATTTGGGCTACCAATATCATATGCTGGAAATTCCATAGTTGTACCAAAATACTGTGTGGAATCAAGCTAGGATTTAAAAAATTCAGACTAGTGGTTTATGTGTTGTAATTATTATTAAGTTCATCACATTCAGCCACTTAGTTAACGATTGTCTTGTATCTTTTGTTTAGGACATTTTTACTAAATACCGTTCTTCCTTGGTTGAAAGATATAACTGGCATCCCATTGTATGAAAACAAAGTCGACTTGACCTCTTCAATTTATAAACAAGGAGGTAGGTAACTGATTCAATAATTAAGCTGTAATCTCCTGGTTTCGTTTTATTTTAACAACTGCTAACTGTATTGTATTAATAATCAAATGTTTGTGTTCATGCATGGTGAGGTTAGGTTAGGACGCTCGCCGATCATGTACGTGGTTCGGGGTTCGATCCCCGGCCGACGCGCACCTTTACCTCGCCAAGCCAGTAGTGAGACTGGTAAAGGGGAAAGGTTGGACATGAGGCTAGCAACCCCATCCTGTGAGACAAACGCTGCTACAGAAACTTCAAGCTACTAGCTTGAAGCTGTATGTTCCACTGGGAACGTGAAGGAAAAAAATGGTGAAAAAGCGTATCATAATGTTACACATTAATTACGTCTAGATGTTTAGGGTTAGTCATTACATAATTGTAAACATAGAATTTATATTTGTCGACATATACCCGTAGAATATTCCGAGAAAAGTGCATCTCCATTCATGGCTGGTAAAATCTGTTCTTGTTGCAAAAAAGACACACCGATAACTGGCTCTTCTGATCCAGTAGCTTAGTGGACAACACTGGGATTTGAAGCGATAGGTATTGAGTTCAAGTTTCCTTATGAATACCATTACTTATGGTGGACACGATTGCATAGAACTGACGTCTCTGGGATATGAGAAAACGTGCATTCTGCATCCTACTGCTAACGTCTGTCAACAAAATAACAGGTGACTGAACTCTTAAACAATTATTTACTTACTTACTTTACTTCGGCTATCTCCTACGGGAGGATGAGCCGGCTTCATGAACGTCTCGAATCATCGCTGCCCAGGCGCGGCAATTTGTAAGAGAGTTCATGAAGTTTCATGGGAATTTGGTACGAGCGATGTCCCCAGCATCGCTCGGCCTTTTGTTTGAGAGTGCAGCTCTAGCCTTTACACAGCCAAGTGTGACCTACAAGGCAGTAGGAGTGGAGTAAGGAGTCCACTATCCATTGGCAGCCGGTTACCGGAGTTCGGTTCATACGCCTTTTTGAATGGGGCCAGACATCCAGGACATCCAACAAGCCCTTTGTCCATACGTCTGCCGGTGAGCTCCAGTGAGCTTCATACGCCAGTCGTTGGAGGTTTGGAATCAGGGTTTAGCCATCTCCCCTAGACTGTCATCCAATGGACAGTCAACCCGGTGGAGAGCGCCGGGCATCCGCTTTCGCCCTCTCACTTTGGTGAGAAACACCTCCGCCACGTGAAGGCAGTGAGTAGGACTTCCTCAGGAGAGGCTATGTAAGACGCCCGGTCATATGGGAGCATTTCAGGAGGTGTGCGGAGGGGTGGCCAACCCGCAGCGCAAGGCACCCACCCCCGACCATCCTGAGGCTTATTTCACGTATTTTGTATGTATACAGTATGATTGTCAAATGTTCAGACTTTGTCTCACAAACCCATGTCAGTTATTCACTACACACTGAGGCATGAAGCATTCGTTTTACCGCACAAAAAATTTGTATTCACTTGGAGAGTTGTTTTATGTTTATATCATTATGAATTTGCCAATCAGTGTTTTTCTTTTTGTCGAATGCTTCACTGCTGTCCAGATTATCTTCTGTGTCACGATGATGAACTAGAAGGTCGTCGTATTGCATTTATTTGGTACTTAGTCCCTGATGATTGGAATAACCAAAAGGATGGTGGTGAACTGGAGTTGTTTGACAGTGTGCCAGTGGAGGGTGGTGAAGATAACAATAATGAAGGCAAACTTATACCCACTAGAATTTGTGTCTCCTTACCACCGAAGTGTAATACTTTCACATTCTTCGAAGTATCACCAAGATCATTTCACCAGGTAGTTTCAAGATTATAATATATTCTCCTGTATGATGGGTGCGTGAGACTTCTCACAACTAAACTATGAACTATATTTAGTGTGAAGCTTAATAATATTGACTGTCTTTTGAGACTAGGATCTGTAGAAAATGTTTCTAAACCTCTGGCCATTGGTTAAGTGCATATAACAACTATTATTTCTAATAGGTGACGAGTTATAAGGTGTGATAGTGAGTAGCTCAGTGTCATGTTGGTTATGATTAATAGGAATTCTAGTATTGTAATGATGTTCATCCAGTCCCCTAGATAGACATATTGCATAAATTCATTATTTAACTCTTTTCTACCCAGTCAAACGTTCAGAGCATTAAACATATCGGAAGTCTGACACTTACTTCCATCAGTCTCTAAATAAAATTTAAAAACTAAATTTAATAAAGTGTAAATTAATCGATTTTCTGAAACCTTTCGAATTATATGACTCAAACTTTAATAGCTAGTGACAGTTATTTATGCTTTGTACTCTATAGTTCCATGTAATTACAGCTTCACTTTTGAGTGTAAAGTCCTGTCTCTAACTGTATCGGACTGTAAGAGTAGTCCGAAGATGACTAACCATCTCCTGTTATACTATCTATCAACTAGTGAACTAGGTAAGGTTTACGAGTGTGTTAAGCTAGGAATCAAATCCACACCGCGTATATGTGTTTGCGTGTGTTCAGTGAGCATTCCACCACTGAACCAACGATCCACATAAAGGACTACTTGCACGTAATTTAAACCAGAAATTTGCTGGACGACTGTGTTGATAAGACGATGAACAGTAAATTGTGTTTGAAATGTCTGGTAAAGTTTAATTGGTTAACTGCTCTTCATCTTCACGAAAGTTGAAGAGTCTATTTACATTTAAATAATTAACTAACTGCTTATCGTAAATGATCCTCAAAATAACTATTTTATTGATTACTATATAACATTTAACTCATTACTTTACTCACTTTGTTTTAGGTCGCTGAAGTGTTAGGTAATACTAAACGTGTATCATTACATGGATGGTTTCATGGACCAAGTCTTTGGACTGTGAGCAATAATACACTTCAGGGTATTGAAAAGATTTCACCTGTGTACATAGAAGTAAGCTGTTAAAAGGTATTTCTTCACTTAAAATTTATCTGAATGCGATAAATTCGGTTCCTTATCTGCATTGGCGATTACTGTAATCCATTACCGAAGTGATCGAAAAATGGCTCAGAGGTTTCATACTGTAGAGGAATTTCTCAGTATAATTTGGTGGGTTATGACTGGAAGTAGAATCCATGATGAGCATTTCGTCCTACAGAGGAGTCGTTAGGTAGACGTATTTGTAATCTGCAATGAGTAGTGATGGTGTTCCCACCGAGACTCGAACCCAGTCCCCATCGTTTTAACCACTAAAGTGTTATTCATTGGCTCGTTTGGATAAAAAGAGCCAACTGTTGTACAATGGGTGCGTATCAGTTGTTATCTATTTAAGACATCGTTGAAGCATCCATACTGGGAGCTGACATGTCAACAGATACTGAACATTGCATTTCAGTATAATCCATCAATGAGAAAGACAATATTGACTTAAACAAGAAAGCTTTCAGGCTACTGAAAGTAATCCTTCTTGCAGTGCGTGGATAAAAGGGAAGTAAAAGAAATGAATTCTTTGTATACAAATCTCGACAAATCATACTTTAGGTTGCGTTTTTTTCTAACTAATATTTCACACTATATATCATTATGATGATGCTTCTGATTAAGAAGATATTTATTTCTTAAAATACTATCAATTATGTGAATTTTTGGAACGCAGAACGTCTATTTATGATTTCCGCAGTCAACTTATTCACTCATTTGTGTCTTAATCATTAGTCTTCTTGTGATAATCACAGGGGGATTATCTTGATCAGTATGATACCTAAAGTTCTAGGCTCAATAATAATGCGTAGACTAAGCTGTTCTCCGGAGGAACAAACACAGACAGGCTTTAGACCAGGAAAAGGGTGTTTTGATCATATCTTCACCCTTGGACAGATTCTGGGACATAGGCATACTTACCGTGGCGTCCAACAATCGTCATATTTCTTGATCTAAAGGCGTAATTTGATTCCTTTGACAGACAGGTACTATGGCGATGTTTGGCTGTGAAGAGAATGACGAGAAAATACATTGCACTGATCAAGGCACTCACTCTACTCGAAGTCATGCAGTCAGCCAGATGAGAACCTACGGAGAGTTGTCATCTGAAGTGGTGACAACTAGTGGCATCCGTCAGGGATGCCACTAGTTGCAGAGTCTTTTTATACGCTTTCTGGATTTATTCCATTCAAAAGGATCTGTCTTTGCCGTATCAGTGGTAAGTAGTTGATATCAAGTATGCAGTTGCACTCGAGGTGATGGTACACCACTTGCCCCATAAGCCACAGAAGTAACTGTATTAGAATGTGTCAACTAATGAAGTAACAGCCAACAAACCTAACTATGGACCAGAAGCTGTTCCATTTGACTTTTAAGACCTATCCTGAGAACATTGAATAAGTTTAAGGCCCTATTAGTAGCTCAGTTGTTAAAATATTGAACTGATAATTTGAAGAAGCGTGTTGGAGTCGTTTTGACTTTAATCACCGCTCTAATGTGTCATTTAATGAAAAATAAAAAGGTGAAAAATTGTGCTAAATTATATCACTTACTCACAAGTAGTACAGTTTCCAAAGTGGAGTATATTTTACAGCGAGTGTGAGAATGTCTGTGGTAATGTTCCCTAAGAAGACGATGTTTGCATAAAAGTGGTATGTACTATAGTTTCTCCTATTGTCTTTATTCGGTGATATCTTACAGATATTCAGTCTTTAATGAAACGGTAAACTTTGGGCAGATCACTACATAAAGCCAGATTTTCTACATTCAAAGCACACAATTATTGACTGTCAATCAACATCAACATATCTGACGACAGATAATAACAATAATAACAATAATAACAGATACCGAAAGTATTACATTACTGATGGGTAATATTGAACTAAGGCGTGGAGTGTTGAGTAAGGCGGGTAAATCAATCGATCAGGTTGTGAGGCTACATCGATTGGGATGGCGAGGACACGTGTTACGTATGCCAATCCATAGACTTCTTTGACGAACTATGTTAGCCGACATTGGATTAGGTTGGAAAAGGGTTGGTCAGAACAAAACCTGGGATCAGTCTATGAAGGCTTCGAGAGACCGTAGCTTGTCTGGTTGTGGTCCTCAGTTTACTAAGACCCAGTGGTTGGAGGCTATCGGTGATCTGGCTCAAAACTGTTCTCAATGACCTTTTGTGTTTTCCCATGTTACCATACCCCCCTCCCCGCATACATTTGTGCTCATTGTAGCTCTTTTGAGTTTCCTTTTCTTCTCCCCTCTACCTTTGTGTGTTACATGGAGTGTGACAACTTGAGCTGCTGCACTATGTCCTATGTTGAAATTTAGTCAGTTAGTTAAGAACCATTGTCATCAAAATTGACTTCTTTCATTATGGCTCCTCATCATTTTTACCCTAAATTCAAATTTATAAGCAGGAAAACATTGTCACCAACTATATTATCGTGTTTGTCAGTGATAAACTAGAGTTCATACCTGTCTTTATTGAATTCACAGGTTAGAAATAATAGTTTCTCAACTCTTTAGTGTTAAATTTCTGTTTCCAATTTTTCGGTCAGAAACACCAGAAATAGGGGAATAGTTTAGAGCCTCGTTAATAGGAATTAGTTGAGTGGTAGAAACACTCCTTGTTCAAAATTTATACTTTAAATATTTTTGTTCAATTATTGAATATTGTTAAATCCTCATCAAATGCAAAAGAAAAACATAGAGATGGGTTCATATATATATGTATATATATAGTTGTAGATGAAGTAGTATGGATAAATAGTCCCCCCCCCCACTCACTACTATTTTTTTTTTGATTTTTGATTTACAGCTTGATTCACTTGAATATTATTGGTGGTAAACGTCCTGGCACTGGATTACTGTATGTTGCATGCGATAGTGATTCTTGGTGTATTTCATTAGGTGATACAGTTAAATGATATTTTCCATAAGGTATTCTTGCCCATTCATCATAATTCAATACTGGAGGACGCACTTTATTCAGCAAATCCTTTTCTATTGGATTTAAATATGTTAAGTGTGGTGTGTAAATATAACGAGAGGGTAGAGATAGTCTGTTTTCTCCTTCTTTATCCTTCATGGAGGATGTTGAACAGATAATGTCTTTAGGTTTTTCATCTTTTGTTTCCCTCTTTGGTCTAGGTAGGATTTCCATATTAGTTTGCCATAATGTTGGACCATTTTTAGGGCGTATATACATTGTTTACTGTTGTCTCTATGGTACTAACAAACTGTGTGTGTGTGTGTGTGTGTGCGCGTATGTAATACACAAATCCAGCTAAATACACTCAAAGCCCACTTCACTGTTGGTGAATTTATACCATTTGAATGCACCAGTCGATTTTCCAAAGTCACATGATTAAAGTTTGAGACTTTAAAACTTTCGTCTTACGTAATGACTGATGATTTCTGTTACCCATCGTATTAACAACCAGAAAACGGTAATTGTGGTCACGCGGGAAACTTATATAATATTCTTAATATTTTAAATCATGATTTTATAGTAATAATAGTATTTTTTTCTTCAATGTGTTATCACTTCCATTAGATCATACAGAAGTGTAATACTGCATTCTCATTACCATATCTCACATCTTTTTCTTATTTTGTCCTATAGCTCTTTCTCTACTGATTTTAACCTAGGCACTATAATTTTTCACCTGGGTTTCAAGTGGAGCATAGGGCTTCATCAGCACATCTTCGTTTCGCCCTGTTCTCTGCAGTCATTTTTAGTTGATTCTACCGATAAGCTTTTGTTTCCTGCTGATACGATGTCCTCCATTTTGCTTTTGGATGCCCAACTCTTCGTTACGTGTTCGGGCTCCACTCGAGGGCCTGCCTTGCGTGCTATCACTCAAACGTCCTTCCAATGTATATTCAATCCATCTCTGTTTTCTTCTGCATGTCTGTTGGTGAATAACTTCTTGGTTTGTTCATTGCCAGAGGTCCAACACCAGTCAACATCAACAGGAGAGATTTGATGGAGGTTACCTCCTTCAATTATCTGGCTAGGAAGCATCGTTTCAACTACAGGTAGAATGGATGAAGCTTTCAAAACCAACCAGAATCGAAGAGGCAAGATACGCCTTCATCAACCTGAAACCAGTTTGAAAATATTCTGCACTCCACAGCATAAAAACAAGATTCGGATTCTAAGCACTAATGTTAAGCCAGCCAGTTCTTCCATACAGGTTGGGAATTTCTACTGTGCTTCATGGAAAGGATTTCCAACAGGCAACTGCAGACTTTTACAAACACCTGCCTTTGCTATGTCCATAATGAGGATCAAATGGCCTGTGGAAAGAACTAGCAACAAGAAACTATGGGAACTTAATAACCCACAAACTATCGTTCAACAAATATTTAGGAGAAAGTGGAGATGGATTGGGCATGCGTTGAGGAGACCATTGAATGACATCGTGCGCAATTCAGGCCATCACTCGAGTGTAATCCCATTGGGAAACGACGAGTGGGTCGTCGTCAGTGTGAGGGTGACATGGAGGGGATCGTGTGATAGGAGGAGGAGGAGGAGATTGAGAGATTATAGTCAATCGTGGACCTCGGTGAAGAGGACAGCGGACTATAGAAGAAAGCGTAGATGTTTCACTCTGACCGGCTATCTGATCTTGAGTATCAAGCGAAGACAATTGTTGATAAAACTCTGCAGTGGCCTGTTAGAAATGCTTTTTGTGATGCGCCAATTCTCTAAATAGTATAGGAGCACTGCTAGACTTGAGATTAACGTTGAATAATCCTAATGGTGTTCCTTGTGCTGGGTGTAACAGATTTCTATACTTAGATAGATCAACATAAATATTATATAGGGTTTTTGTTACTGTTAGTGTTATTTTTTACACCAGAACCTTGGACTTAACTTTAAGTACCATTCCTGTATTCTGGGTCTGAATTACACCTGTTTTGCAAGGTAAATGTTCACTTCTGGTAACATAAGGAGTTGGTGCTAAAGACACTGAATGTGGCAGTAATGAACAATGAACAAGAGAAATGAAATAATAATTCAGCGTCACTGCGCTCTTTCCTTTCTGAATGGCACTAAAATTCCACCATTGAAGTTTGACCCTCCCATCGGTGGAAAGGTTAGGCGGGTACAACCTTGTGAGAAATAGTCAATCGAGGAAAGGGTAAACCTCTACTGCATGAAATGTTACACATGTCAATCCACTGTCTCTCCTTCAGTATTCTGTCTAAACTCAAGTAGAAACAGTTTATAAGAAAGTTACACCGATTTATGACATCAGCCCATGGAGATGTACTTCCAGTTAATTTGAGCCATCTAATGTCTCCTACTAGAATACATTTAACCACTAGAACCTATGGATAGAAATTCCAGGTAATATGACTGTAGATCATTAGTCTCAGTGGTGCAGACTAATTAAGTCATTCTTAATTTTTTTGTTTTGTTATTTTATATATCTGTTAGTTGCCTTGTCTTCTTCATTTTGTCTTATAGCATTCTTAAGGAAAAACAAAGTTTATCTTCAGCGAAGAAATATTTTGATGAATTGATCACGGATTGATATCAGCTAGAGAAACATTGAGAACCAGCAGAGAGTACTGGACAGCTGTCTCGTCCTAGTTTGGGAATCATCGACAATACGCACCCACTGAAGTTCGAACCCAAGACCTCCCGGTTACAAGGCAAGCTGGCATACCATTCAGCCACTGGGACGCGACTTAATGGCCGGTCCATAAATTCTAATTTCTACCAATTCGTAATTTCAGCGAGACCATCAACCAATGTCATCGGTGAGAAGTCTGATGCTCACTAGTGACTTGCTGCAGGATGGAGTTTCCTAGAGTCCTAGTGAGAAGTTGTGACCAGTGAGGTCCATCCAGTTAAGTGTGAGGATGGATGTTCCACCGATAACATTGGTTGCTGCCAGTCGCGCCAAATCACGAATTGGCAGAAGTTAGAATTTATGGGCTGGCCATTAAGTCGCGCCCCAGTGGCTGGAATGGTATACGAGCTTGCCTTGTAACCGGGAGGTCTTGGGTTCAAACCTCAGCGGGTGCGTACTGCTGATGATTCCCAAAGTAGGATGAAACAGCTGTCCAGTACTCTCTGCTGGTTTTCAATGATTCTCTGGATGATATCACTCCATGATTAACTCATAAAGACAAATCTAATCCCTACAAACCGACTCTTGAAGAAATATTTCTTTTCAACTACCTCATTTTCTGTCTGAACAGTCGCACTTATATAACAGAAAAATGTATTAAGTGGCACTAAATAATTGCTCAGTCAATATTGGACACATGATAAGAATAAAGATAATTAAAATGATGTATTAAGGCGGTAGAGTTGAAATGGATGAATTACAAAACTTTTAAAAATTATTAAATAAGTAGACTGGTATTAAGATTTTAGAATTGTGGGTCATGTTACCTATAAAATTAAGAGTACAGTGATGACGGTGAAGATGAAGTAAAGTGGAATGAATTCAAGTGGTAGAATATATTAAATAAAAGAATATTACTATGACCAAGGTGAAGAAAGGGGTTTAACAAAGTGTTTTTGAGCACATAGGTCTGGTTTCTGTCCATATATCATTAGAGCTTCGGCTATGCATCAGTGGAGAAAACGTAAGCTCTATCAGCTGTTGGATTTGGTCCTGTAAGTAACTATGAAGTAAAATCACGTGGGGCTGAATGACCTGACTCCAGAATATGCTCACAAAATGAAGGCTTTATCGTCCTTTGTTCACGTTTTATTAACCAAATCGGGTAGTGTTCAAGTGTATGTCAGTGGTGGGAAGCATTCTACTTCTTCATGATGATATGTTTACTGTTTTTTGTTACTTGCTAATTGATTTGCAGTCGTGATGTGTGTGACCTTAAACATTGCTGTACTAATTTCACATACAACGCTGACAACATCTGTTTGTAAGTCTTCCGTAACCTCAGTGGATAATCAAGGTGCCTATTTGATGAACAGATCACCGTGCATTGTATACAAGCGTGTTGAGGTTTGAATATCACTAACAAGTTGGTTGATATCCCAAAATAGTATCAGTCTGAAGTTTTTGAAGACCAGTTATGTATAATCTGAATTCTTCATCCACTATCAAGGTAACAGGTATCCAAAAGACTTTTAACAGAATCTAGAAGTATATTGAGTTGTATTTTATTATATTAACGAAAACAAAAACACGTAGTTCAGCAAGGAGTCTGTTTTCGACGGTAAATGCATTCGCTTAGCTATAAAATCGCAATTATATATATCTATATATATCGATTACAGCTTGATTCCACACAGTACTTTTTGGTAGAAGTATGGAAATTTCAGCATGTGATATCGGTAGCCCAAATTTTGCAGTCGGTGGCACAGTGGTTAGGACTCTCGCCGACCGTGCACATGGTCTGAGGTTCGATCCCCTGCCGACGCACACCTAATATCAATGGCCGGCCTGCAAAATTTGGGCTACCGATATCCATGCTGAAAATTCCATAGTTGTACCAAAAATACAGTGTGGAATAAAGCCGTAATAAAAAATAAAATGATATCGTGTGTGTGTGCCGGCAGGGGATCGAACCCGGGACCTTGTGCATGGTCAGCGAGAGTCCTAAACGCTGTGCCGCCGATGCATATATATATGTACTCATTTTTGTATGTGTCGGGGGTGGGTGCCTTGCGCTGCGGGTTGGCCACCCCTCCGCACACCTCTTGAAATGCTCCCATATGACCGGGCGTCTTACATAGCCTCTCCTGAGGAAGTCCTACTCACTGCCTTCACGTGGCGGAGGTGTTTCTCACCAAAGTGAGAGGGCGAAAGCGGATGCCCGGCGCTCTCCACCGGGTTGACTGTCCATTGGATGACGGTCTAGGGGAGATGGCTAAACCCTGATTCCAAACCTCCAACGACTGGCGTATGAAGCTCACTGGAGCTCACCGGCAGACGTATGGACAAAGGGCTTGTTGGATGTCCTGGATGTCTGGCCCCATTCAAAAAGGCGTATGAACCGAACTCCGGTCACCGGCTGCCAATGGATAGTGGACTCCTTACTCCACTCCTACTGCCTTGTAGGTCACACTTGGCTGTGTAAAGGCTAGAGCTGCACTCTCAAACAAAAGGCCGAGCAATGCTGGGGACATCACTCGTACAAAATTCCCATGAAACTTCATGAACTCTCTTACAAATTGCCGCGCCTGGGCAGCGATGATTCGAGACGTTCATGAAGCCGGCTCATCCTCCCGTAGGAGATAGCCGAAGTAAAGTAAAGTAAGTGTGTGTGTACATCAGGTTTGTCCGATAAGAATAAAAATAAATTAGGGTTATTGTTGTCAAGACATTTGAAAAATGTGATGAGTAATCAAATTGTAACTGGGTTGGCGAGGGTGAAGATTGGTGAGAGGGTAGTGGTGATCTGTTGTCAAAATACATTGTTATTAGCACATAAAAGAAGTTGAATAAGTGTGATACAGTTACGTAATAGGATGAGTGAGTTGTGGTTAGGCTGCACATAGAAACAAAGGAAAATATGGAATTATGTAAGAGTTCTAAAAATTACAAATGTTATAAGGAGTTAGAAAAGAAGAAAACAAGCACACAAACGTCAAGTCAGTAGCAGTGAACACGGTTGTTACCATGATAGTAGAAGTGGCTGGATGATTTTCGTTTGTGTATATAACTCTGATTACTGCAACTGAATGGTTAAGGCTTCAGCAATACAAAGGAGATGAAAGCGTATTGCTTTTGGTAGGTTGTTCTTCACTCTGTAGATCACTTTGAAACAGAAGGCATTTGTTGAAATGGAATGATTAGTGTTGACGAGATGTTCGAATATTTTATTTAGCAAAAAGTAATAAAAAGTTGCTTGACAGCTTTAACTGGTCACCCTCAAGGATAACAAAACTTAGTTATTTTAAAATTCACTTACTCCGGACAGATTTTTTATGTTATAGGCTATGAAGACTCATGATGATAGTCAAATTATCCAGGCTGAAACAGCCGCGGCTGGGTCCAAACCTGGGGGGTGGGGAGGGAGGTCGTGACATATCGTCGTCAAGACTGAAATAGTTGGAATTGGAGTTTAAGTCTGTGATCATCCATTCAAAAGTCATTGCTGCTGTTGTCAAAACAAGCTATACATTTAAATCTTAGTAAAGAGTATTATTAAGCTCCTTACTGCAATTCTTGTGTATATTTTGTATTACTTGGTTTCACTTTTTCCAGTGAACTGTAAAAACGACAAAACCGTTTCAAATTTTTGATCACATATATGCCTTAGTTATTTCATGTATATATTTTCATAGGAAGAACTTGTATATCAATGGATTAACCCAGTTTACTTTGATACACAACAATTGAGCAAAATTCGACGGAAATTCTATAAATCTTCAGAAATTCAACTGATTAATTTCTTGAAGGTAAGTTAAAAGAAGAATAGTTTGTTCATCTTGTATTCAGTTATTTCGAGAGGTGATTAATAAAGTGCCAGATAAATGTAGTATTGTAGATATTGGCTAGCTGTGTGGATGATAAGGCACAATGTATAGTACACGTTGAAAGTACTAGGTTGGGTAAACATAAGAGTTTTGACTTAGACACTTTTTGGTTGTTGAGTTACTACACATAAACCATGCTACTTCGTTGATTAGGTCGAAATATATCTGTGAAATATTTTTTTTATTTATATTTTTGATTACAGCTTGATTCCACACTGTATTTTTGGTACTAGAATGGAATTTTCAGCATGGATATCAGTAGTCCAAATTTTGCAGGCCGACCATGGATATCAGGTGTGTGTCGGCGGGGGCTCGAACCCCGGACCATGTGCATGGTCGGCGAGAGTCCTAACCACTGTGCCACCGACGCACAATGTTTCACTCACGACTATGCATCTGTAAATGTCCAGTGTAAATTACCTGAATAGCCAACTTCTATTTTCATCAAAAATAAGGTAACTCCCTTACCATTATATGCATACATTTATTTAGTTTTAACTTGAACTGCCTGTGTAAAAACTATATAAGCGCAATTTTCTGAGCACTGTTTACTAATTGTGGAACTTTCTGTCAACTACAACATGTAAAATTTGCATTTCTGTAGTTAAACCTCATAATTTATTTAGTCTGTAAGCAGCTGATGAGAAGCCAACGAAATAAATGATGGTACCATGTCATTTTGCACAAACCACTGTTGTTCTCGGTTTATTCAATAAGGTTTGTGTGAATTGTATAGGATCTTCAAACTCTGGAAAAAAGACTCCGAAAATGTGCAGTACTCTAATTTATGCATTTACAAATACTATTTCGTAGAGTTTTTACAAGAGGGAATACTGTTTCCTAAGGTGTTTCATTCTAGTTATGCACTACTATCGGTCATCTAACTAAATTTATTGACATTTATACATTGTAATGCTGATTGCATGTTTAAAAAGTGTTCCAATAGGACATATATCTAATCAAACCTGGATTAATGTATGTGTAAAACTTGGGCACTGTGGTTGTATATAATTCCATAATAATTGGCTTATTAGGTGTATCACACAGTCTGCGAAACAGTATTATTTACTGAATGACGAAGTTTCGAACACAGTTTATTGTTCATAATCATATCATCAATTATAATTACACGACTTAGAAACTTGACATTTACAGTTTCCTTTATTCTCTCCTATTTGTTGTAGGGGTAGTGGAATTTTCCAGATGTCCGAGTAGACAGGTGTTGAATCATTTCTATTATACATATTCGCAGTTGATTCGATAAATAAAGCTTCGCTTCCAATATCTCCCTCCACCCTGTTTTCCTTAGATTTTGAAACTGTCGTCTTATCCCATCCTATTGAATGGTTGTGTGTACCGATTGTGTGTCCCGGTTGCATGTACCGAGTGGTATAGCTGAACTATTCTCCGGACTTCTTATCTTATTAGGGTCAACTAATCTAGATTTTGCTAAGTTTTTGTGCTTCACTAATTAGCAATATCCCCTATTGTGGCAGATATGTTCACAGTCAGGTGGAAAAACATAGCCATTGAAACGTTCACCCCCAACACAAAAGTATGGTGGAGGTATGTAGATGACTTATTCACCGTACTTAGAACACAAGAGATAAACAGATTTTCGGACACATCAACTCAAAGGTGGAGGCAATTCAATTCATTTATGAATTGGAAAGTCAGGAAGGGGAACTTCCAATGTTAGATTGTAGCGTAAAAAGGAGAGAAGATGGGTAGTTAAACACTAGTGTTTACAGTAAACCCACACAGTCAAACCGATATTTAGATTTCGCGTCATCCCATCTTATGTCAGTAAAAATAGGGTTGGTGAAATGTTAAAGTGACAGAGCAAAAAAACTTATTAGTACCAAGGAAAATCTAAGACAGGGAATGAAACAAATAAGAGAAGCTTTGAAACTTAATCACTAATTAGCCTGACAAATTAATCAGAAAGTATGTAGGGAAATGTAAAAAGAAAATTAATAATAGTGGTAGTGATAATAAGAATGACGACATGCATGTCAAACATGCACAGGATAATGACAACACCAACAACAAGGAATTTAAATCATCAGTAGTACTTCCATACCAAAAAGTAACCTTGGAGACGTTACAGAGAATTCTTAACAATGGAGAAATATAAGTGGTGTTCACACCCACAAACTGACTTAGAAAGAAGTTTTGTCGGCTAAAGGATCAATCCTGTGTAGCCATTAAAAAAACAATTTAGTTCATGTAATACCATGCTGGAATGATTGTCAGATCAAATGCATAGGTCAAAGTGGTAGAACGGGATCAGTCAGTCAGACCTGCGGAACATAACAACCTAACCAAATCTAGATTAGTTGACTCGAATAAGATAAGAAATCTGGAGAATAGTTCAGCTATACTACTCGGTACATGCAATTACACACAACCATACAATAGGATGGGATAAGACGACAGTTTTAAAATCTAATGAAAACAGGCTGAAGGGAGGGCTTGAAAGCGAAGCTTTATTTATGGAATCAACTGCAAACCTCGATTGTAGAAATAAATAAATGTCTAATGGATATTGGTACTCAATGACTTCGTTTCATTGTTTCACTCACACACTGTTACTTGAGATCTAAATCAACAGCTTTAATTATGATCTCGTTAAAGATGATGGTAAGAACCTCAATTCAATTAACTACTGATATGAAAACCTCTGAACATATAACGTGACTAGAAAATTAATAATAGCATAAAATTGACTGTAGTATTTTAACAAGATGAGTAGAATGACTGCATCATTCACCTGTGTTTGGTAGGAAGCGTTTATCACCAGGTGTGTTTTTGATAACCTCTTTATATTTTGATTTGCTTTTAGTAGATGGTGTAATCTCCTGTGCATTTTTTAGGCTTTAAAAATCATGAATTTGAATGAACTATCACAAGTGTGGAGTTGTTAATCTGTGGGTTGGATTATACACAATCAGACCTTTCAGAAGTTGTGCTGCTACCCAATAGTATAATACTAGTCAATGTTCTTGTATCCAATTTAAGGTGATATGTTAATGGTTTCTCAGTGTCAGAGTTTGTCAATAACCTGGAGTGGGTACCTACATACTTTTGTCAGGACCTAGTAGAGATATTGCGAAAGGGATAACGGTAGACCGGCTTTCCTTTGATTTCTTAAAATATCTGTCTGTAAGGAAGAGATAAAGTTTGTTTGAAATCAATTAACCTGGGTCATATTTCCCAAGAACATCAGGTCATGGACCACATAATTAGCGTTAGGACTGATGATGATACCCGGTTGCCGAGGCTGAATTAGGTGGTGCGAAATTCGAACCTGGGGTTGACTACCCTAAAGTCAAATGAAATGAAATGGTAGAGCGTGTTGACCACTTCACTTATTTTGGGGAGTTACATCAGCCAACTCCAGCGGGTCAATCTCTGACGAAATCTCAGCACGCATACAGAGGGCTCCTTTGGCATTTACTGACTCACTCCATCTCTGGCTTAGTAGACGTGATATCCGTCTGACTGTCTACCAAAGGGACGTGTGTACTGCTCAGCAGTTCGCTTCGTCCTCCTTAATGGCTGTGAGTGAGACATGGCCGTTGAGAGTGGAAGAGATGAAAAGATCGGCTATCAAAGGCGTATGCTTTCTGTCTCTCGTGTTAGGTAGTATAATAGGGTAAGCAATATTGAGGTTAGGCATCGGTAGAGTGCTAGGTAAGGAGGGAGGGGAAATCAATCGACGAGGTTGTGAAGCTACTACGTCGATTGAGATGGTTAGGACATGTTTTACGTATGCCTGGCCTTCCTAGACGGGCAGTGTCAGCTGACTGACATAAGATCGATGAGTTTGTTCTTCCATATTACTATTCTTTTTGTCTCATATTTCTGTTTATTATTTGTATTTTGAACCTCTGTTTACTGTCGTCTCTTGCTACATAGAATGTGGCAACTCGAACTGCTGCACATCTGTGCAAAGTTCCATGTCGAATTCACTCAGTGAAAGTCAGATGTTTTCACCAACAATCCACTTCTCCACAAGAATTCCCGAAGTATATTGTTGGGAATTTAGTAATCGAAATATATCAGAAGTAAATAGTTCCTCTTGAAATTCATGACATCTCATTTAATTGAGATAGACGCTTGATGGTGGAATTAAACATCTCATGAAACCTGTTCATTATGCTAATACAATACGTCTATGTATTAACTTTAATAGATAGTCATCAATAACATTCAGAAGACTGACACTAACTTGTTTGCATTTATTAATTTTGGGATTGGGATGAATCTTACGTCCACAGGTTAACCACTCAGATAGTATGAATGCCTTAACTGTATAAACCATTAGGATTACTCTTTGCACGAGACATTTGGTACCTTCAGCGATGATATTGAAGTCGGTAATAAACAGCTATCATGACCACTCAGTATATATATATATATATATATAACTATCAGTTGCCTATGGTTAATCTAAATACTCAGGAAAAAATACAACATAAGTACAATAGTGTTTAGCCAGTATTTTATTTATTTTAGTCGAAACCGTTCTAAATTCTGAAGATGTTTACTAATCCCTGCCAGACATAAATATTGTTTTAACGTTGTGGTGCCGTCACTTCGCTGTCCTATTGTTTGCTGTACTTTTTGTAACTGTGGCAACCTGAAATGGTATACTTTTATATAAAGTTCTACACCTATTTTTCGGTCAATCGGTTCTCTGGGATTAACGTCAAGTTTTCACACCCACAGAGAACTAAAGTAGACAGTGGAGATTTAACTCACTGACTTGAGCATTTCAAGTCCCGCTCCATATATATATATATATATATATATATATATATATATATATATATCATCTCGAGCAACTGGGTAATGCCGTCAGTCTTCATGCAATGATTGTGTCACTCAGAAGTCAAAAGTGATATCACTCAGATTAATGTGTATGTATATCGGCGTAGATATTCAGAAGAACCAAGTTCAGTTTAGTATAACAATTTATACCTTTCAATAAAACACACTTTCCGTTCATACGAACTTGCTTCTGCGTAAATTGTTTTTAATCATACTCTGATTTTGTGTGCATATAATTTTAGGCGGATAAATGGAAGGAATTGGTGCAGTGCTTAGATAATTTATCTCCAAATGCTTGGATTCATTGTGGTCCTGCCAACAGACGGTAATTATGTGCAACTGAAGCATTTTGATTGTTTTGTTCTTGTTGTGAACATTATATAATTTATGACTGTTTCAAAGTACCTTCTCATTCTACAGTAGCTTTTCTTAACAAAAAATTAAGGTTTGTTAATATTTGCTTACGTCTACATTGATTCTGCCTACAATTGAATGTGTCTATAATCGGATGGTGTGTCAGCATGTGCTGCCAGTGTCTTCGCAGACAGGGAATTCAGTCTGAAGTTGGAAAAAAGTTGAGACAGTCCCAATCCTTCAAGTAATTGATTGTTAATCTAAGGTGATCAAAATCTTACGGGCGATAGAAATTAGGAGTTGGAGATTCGTTTTCGAGTTTCTAAACATTTACATTAGTTTTCATTAAAATTATTTCTGCTCTCTCTAACACTTGTGTGTTTATGCACTTTCTTGCTTGTGTATGTGTGTGGCTACTCTCTGTACAGTTCTTCTCTGATATGTCAGTTAACCAAGAATACCGTAGGTATGCATCTAGCAACTTGTACATGATCTAGGAAACTGTGCTTTGTTATCGGGGTTTTATTCCCCTTGATGCCCATCATTTTGGCGTATTTTCGGTCTTGATAAGACTGATATTGTTTCGGAGGGGTGGTACAGACGTGAATCAACCAGTGGTGAAACCTGAGGCATTATATCCAAGCGAATACTCATTATATATATATATTGAATCAGTTATGTTTCCTGAGCTGGTTGATTCAATTGAGAAGCTTTCGTCGTCCACTTTCTAGACAATATTCTTTCTTCAGCGCAGGTTTTATTATGAAATGAACTTATTTAAGTTCTCCATGAATGAAGATATAATTGTGTCTCCTGGCAGCTATTGTTGTGACTGGTTATTAATTTACGTCTCTATTTGTTCATCCTTATTGATTTGGAATTCTAACTTTTTTGTTATGTGGTGACTTACTTTTTATTAGCTGATAAACTTGGTCTATAATAATGTGTTTGTTAATTGCTGATTCACTTGAGCACCAGGTTTCTAGGAATTCCCTGACTGTATTTCTGGTGTTTCAGCTAATAAAAAGCAAATCACATGACAAGATGGTCAATAGATACGTTCATTCATGGAAACTTCGAATAAGTTCATTTTATACTAAAACCTGCGCTGAAGGAAGAATGTTTTGTAGAAGGGGGACGACGAAGATTTCGCAAGTGAATCAACCAGCTCAGAGAACACAACTAATTCAAAATCATCCACCTGAGTTACAAATCTCCTCCGCTAGCTGATATCTGTTTTTACTCCTCTTCACTTGTGTGTTCTTATCGTCAAACTCTACAATTTAGAGTTTGTTGGATGACCTACACTCATTACAGCTTGTTTCTACTTCATGTTTCATTTGTACTTCATTATATCATCTGTAACTTGGAGGACCTAAGGTTTGATCCCTGATGGAAGAGGTTAGGGGTGCGTGTGTACTGCTGAAGAGTCCCTAATTACTCCAAAACAACTGTTCAATACTGCTTGGTTTCCAGTGATTCTCTAGTTGATGTTAGTTTGGTTGTTTAACTTGAAATTAATTAAACCACTGCAAAGCAACACTTGAAAATTACATTATGTGTAAAATTGTACTACGTTCGGTCTGCATTTTTTTTCTTTCCTTCACGTTCCCCTGTGGAACATAGGGCTTCAAGCTAGTGGCTTAAAGTTTCTGTAGCAGTGTTTATCTTACAGGATGAGGCTGCTAGCCTCATGCCCAACCTTTCCTCTCTACCAGCATTATTTCTGGCTTAGAGAGGTAAAGGAGTGCATCGGTGGTCGGGGATCGAACCTCGGACCATGTGCATGGTCGGCGAGCGTCCTGACTGCTATGTCACCGATGTTCGGTCTGCATGAAAGATACTTATCCTATTCTCTTGTTGTATTTAACCTTCTTCTTGTTCTCCTTCTTTTAGGAATTATAATTGTCTGTCCAATGAAAAGTTGAATGATTCTACATCTGATTTATGTCGTCAACTAATTCGTCTATTCAAATCAGAAGCAATGCTTGTTGTGTTGAGTGATATTACAGGGATTCGATTACATCCATGCGCTTTAATAGGTGAAAAAAACAACAATTCTACTGTTGTAGATAACGGTGATCAGGTAGGTTGGTTGGATTCTATCGTCAAATGTGAACGTGTATGCAATAAATAAAATCATTAAACTTACTAATTTCAATTCTTAGATAAACATGTGTGTCTTCTATGTTTAGTAGTAGTGTGTAGTATGCATACGTGTCTTTTGTTGTTTTTGTTGAGATAACATTTAAAGTGTCATGTTCATCAAAAATTAGTGGTTTTACTGATTGAAAAACAGATAATATCATGAACAGCTATCAGATGATAGGTGTTTATTGGAAATCAAAATGCGGTGATCAGCTGTTTTATCATGGTTCGAGATCATTCACAGTAAACTCCCAAGATCATTGCGATTGAGTCCAGGCGTATTAGGCATATTAGTAGCAGATTATTAATCAGCTAATGGTTTTGAATCCAATAGTCTAATTTGTATTCATTTACGATATCATATCAGCAATATATCTGAATTTTGCGGATGATTTATTTTCAATATCACACACAAACTCGAAGACTTACAGGCGAAAACCAACAAACTGGTTGAAGAGGCAAGCAGCGAAGACAGGACTCCAAGTGGAGAAATTTGAAAGAGGTCACTGACTTCCTTCACTTATCTAGGAAGCATTGTTTCAACCACAGGCGGGACGGATGAAGATGTCAAAGCTAGGGAGAATCGGGAAGTCAAGGCAGCACACCTTTATCAATCAATCTGAAACCATTTTTGGGAACCTTCTGCACTCAGCGTGGATTTTCAACACAAATGTTAAGCTAGTCAGTGCTTCTATATGGGTCAGAAACTTGCCCAGTGTGTCACAAAAAGCATTTCCAACAGGTGACTGCAGACTTTTATCAACAGCTGTCCACTTCGCTGGCTCCAAATGGGAAATCAAATAGCCCTTAGAAAGAATTAGAAACAAGAAACTATGGGAAAAAACTAACCAAGAACCTATCGTCCAACAAATATGTAGGAGAAAATAGAGATGGATTTGGCATTCGCTGAGGACACCGTTGAATTACATCTCCCGCAATTTAGGCCATCGCTCGAGTGAAATCCGAATGGGAAGCGACGAGTGGGTCGTCAGTGCAAAGGTGACATGGGGAGGAGATGCGAGGTTATGGGCAATCGTGGACCCAGGCGAAGAGAATAGAAGAAAGCGTAGATGTGTTGTTGAAGCCCTATGTTCCACTGGGAACCCAAGGGAATAATAATAATAAGGATATAAGTGCTCATAATCGTATCAAGGTGCCCGTAATAACCTTCAGACTTTATTTATATAGTTCTATCATTTTCTATCCTTTGATTTTATTGATAGAATATTTTTTCTGGTTTTCATTTTGCTTCGTCCCTAATGCACGTATTAGGTGTATTTCCAATGAACAAAGATGCAGTGATCAACCTCTTTATCCAGCTAACTATATTACCTCTTAGAAATGTAGTTTTATCTTACTCTATTGTCGCAGTATGCGAGGAGGAGGAGGAGAGGAGAGACCATGGCCAGTGTAGGTAAAGGGTACAGCAGAGAATAGAAGAAAGCTGAGTTGTGTTGTTGAAGCCCTATGTTCCACTAGGAACCCAAGGGAATAATAATAATCAACAGTATTTCTGTGTTATTGGTGCCTATTAGGATGAAACACATGTCTAATGGTTTGAAAACTTAAATGATCCTCTTACTTCTGTCAGTCGGTGACGAAATCTCAGTGGAATGTTAAAATCATTTCATAATTCACCGAAATGTTGTATTTAGCTCAGTCTGCAAATAACTTTTTGTGATACTTTTGTTCATGTTTCGTCGAATTCTATGAAGAAGGGGTGTTTTTGAATCATTATAAATTGTCTTACATCGAAGAGTCAGTGATATTGATATGATAACGGTATATCAAAGCAGAGCAGTCGGGAAGATATGCACATAAACAAGGAAAACATGAAGAGGACAGGATGTTCAAGTTATTAATGCGTCTAAGTGATCAAACATGGTTGTCTGCTGTTGTTTCTTCGTGTTCACAATCACCTATTCCAATGGTAACGGTTAATACCTTCTTGTACTGATGTCTTCTATCAGTCTAGTGTTTAATGCATCTCACTCGTTCCACATAGCTTTGTTTGCCAAGCTATGATTGATAGGACAAAATGTGAAACTGGTATTGATGAAAGTGAAGTAGTTGAGACAATGAACTTTGTGTCACTGGTCTAGGTGCTTGAATTCCAATCAGCGGGTCACGAATTCGATCCCTGCTCCACCTACCACCAAGGTTTGAACAGCCATGTAGTACCACCGACCGAAAGCTGCTACCTTGACGTAGTGGTCGGGCTTGAACACCGCAATGATCTGTTCAAGCTATGCTGGCTGAGACTTATGTCTCTTGAGGTCCTACCATGCCAGGCAGGTTGTTTGGATAGCGGTTAAACAAAAAGCAGCTACCCAATCCAACATCATGATCAATACAAAATCACAAAATTTCATGCCGGATCGGCCGTGGCCCGGATTAACAACGACCGCGCTTCCTGCTGCCGTGTCACAGGGCAGGAGTGATAAATATGCTACTGAGACACACCAAACAAAAGAGAACGAACAAAAACAGGCCGCGTGTGACCGGCCTCAAGCAGTTGTCCCCTGGGCTCTGCGGTCACGCAACCAACTTCCACGGTGTGGGCAGCCGGGAAGTAACAATCGCCCTCACAATCCGAAACGCACACGAAACCTCTCTATTACTCACTCATCTTTGTCTTCATCTTCATCTCTATCATCTTGCCTTCCTTCCACTGATGCAACTCCTCGACTTGATAGCTCTCCACTTCCTCTCCACTCTGCGTCCACTAAAAACGATGGAAGCCAAAAAACCACCACCGACAGCCTCTTAAAGCCGCGCCACCAATTTCATATAGGAGCTCTTAATGTTAGGACACTTTGCCAAATAGGACAACAAGCATCACTAGCCAAGACCCTGGCATCACGAGCCATTGATGTATGCTGTGTTTCAGAAACACGCATACAAGACCCAAGTGTGGTTATTCACCTAACCCCACCTGGCCAACAGGTTGAATCTGCAAAATTCACCTTGAGGGTGTCAGGAGATGCCACAGCTAGTTCACGAGGATTAGCTGGCGTAGGGATAGCTTTGAGTACTAGGGCAGAAAAGACATTGCTTGACTGGATCCCGGTAGATAGCCGAATGTGTGCTGTCCGTCTGAACGGATCAGTAAAAAGGAGAAAGGACTGCACTACTCGCCGATGCCTTTTCGTAATCTCCGCCTACGCCCCCACTGACTGCAGTTCAGATGAAACGAAGGATGAGTTCTACCAAAAGCTGTCTAGTTTGGTGCGAAAGGCTAAACGCTCAGACATAGTCGTTCTAGCTGGTGACTTTAACGCTCAAGTAGGGAAATTGTGTCAATCTGAGAAGGATGTCGGTGGCACCTATGGAGTTCCGTGCCAGCGAACCGACAACGGTGACCGTCTCCTACAGTTCTGTTCTGATAATCATTTGTTTCTTGTAAGCACTAACTTCAAACACAAGGAGAGACACTGTTTGACTTGGAGACCCCCTTCATCAAACCAACGCTGGACACAAATAGACCACATAGCAATAAGCTATCGTTGGCGTGGGTCGGTAGGAGATTGTCGCTCCTTCTGGAACACGTGCGTAGATACCGACCATGCACTGGTCCGCGCTCGGGTGTGCTTACGACTGAACGGACGTAGGAAACAGCTGGCGGTAAAACCATCACGTCCCCAGCTCGATCAGGAAACTAAATCCGTATTTGAGGAAGAACTAGCTAAACACATATCTGTGTTCGACAGCTGTGCTCACCCTGAAGAAGCTTGGAAAAATATCCAGGCAGCCATAGATACAGCTGTAAAAGCTGTGAATAAGGTAAACCCAAAGGTGAGTAAAAACCACTGGATCTCCACCGCCTCATCCGAACTGATAGATGCTAGAAGACTTATTCCGGCGAGCTCCGAATTCAATGAGGAGCGAAAGCTGCACAAGAGGAAACTTACGAAAAGTCTCCGCAAGGACCGTGAACAGTGGTGGGCGACAAAAGCCAAAGAGATGGAGAAAGCTTCGAGGATAGGCAACACCAGGCAACTCTTTAGACTCATCAGGGAAACGGGTGGGAGAAGACAAATCATTAGTGAGACAATCTCGGAAAAAAATGGCACTATAATTAGCTCCAGGATAGACGACTGGATCGTTGGAAAGAGCATTATGAGGAGCAGTTTAATTTGCCCACAGCCACGCTCAACCTTCCGAGCATCCAACACCTCCCTGAATGGGATATAGACACAGGTCCTCCGTCCCTAACTGAGGTTACTAAAGCTGTCACCAATCTGAAACTAGGCAAAGCAGCGGGACCTGATGGAATGACTCCAGAGGTATTTAAGTACGGTGGAGACAGCTTACTGTCTGCATTAACTGAGGTACTAGGCAGCGTCTGGGAATCAGAAGAAGTCCCATCGGGTTGGTGTAAGTCACTGATTATCCCCATATACAAGAAGGGAGACAAGTCTTCCTGTGATAATCACAGAGGGATTAGCTTGACTAATATAGTATCTAAAGTCTTAGGCTCAATAATCATGCGTAGACTGAGTGGTGCTCGGGAGGCACAAACACGAGAGAGCCAGGCAGGCTTTAGACCAGGAAGAGGGTGTATTGATCATATCTTCACCCTCCGACAGATTCTAGAACATAGGCATTCCTACCGGCGTCCAACAGTCATTATATTTCTTGACCTAAAGGCAGCATTCGACTCTGTCGATCGGGAAGTTCTCTGGAGATGCTTGGCTGTAAAGGGAATTCCGAGAAAATATATTGCACTGATTAAGGCACTCTACTCGTACTCATACAGCCAGGTGAGGGCTTACGGCGAGCTGTCATCTGAACTGATGACGACCAGTGGTGTCCGTCAAGGATGCCCATTATCCCCTTTTCTATTCAACTTCATCATAGATGTGTTAATGGACTTAACCCTAGGTGACTTCAGCGACTCAGGGATTGACTTGCTACCGGGAATAATCTCGTTGACTTGGAATATGCAGACGATATAGTCCTTCTAGGCGAAGACGCTGACGAAATGCAGAGTCTTCTAAACACCTTGAGCCGCAATCTACGAATGTTTGGCATGCGATTCGCTCCCGCCAAATGCAAGATGATGTTACAGGACTGGACTACATCGACGCCTAGTTTAAAAATAGGAAGTGAAGTGGTAGAGCACGTTGACCGCTTCACTTATTTGGGAAGTACCATCAGCCCCAACGGGTTGATCTCTGACGAAATCTCAGCACGAATACAAGGGGCTCGTTTCGCATTTGCCAGTTTACGCCGACTCTGGCGTAGACGAGATGTTCGACTATCGACCAAAGGGCGGGTGTACTGCTCATCAGTCCGCTCCGTCCTCCTTTATGGTTGTGAGACCTGGCCACTGAGAGTGGAAGACATGAAAAGACTAGCTGTCTTTGATCATAGGTGCCTGCGTTCTATTTCCCGTGTAAAGTGGCATAATAAGGTGAGCAACATTGAGGTTAGGCGTCGAGTTCTAGGTAGGGAGGGGAAATCAATCGACGAAGTCGTGAAGTTACAAAGACTGAGATGGTTAGGACATGTGTTACGTATGCCAAGTCATCGCCTTCCACGACGAGCAATGTTAGCGGATATAGGGTCAGGCTGGAAAAAAGCTAGCGGCGGTCAAACCAAAACTTGGCACCAGTCAATGAAATCCACAACAGTTAGTCTAAGCCACGTAGGAAGGTGTATCCTTCTTGGCTGGTTGGGGCCCTCGGGACGGTAGAAACCAATGGTTGGAAACAATTTGTGATATGGATCAAAATCGTTCTCATGGCTGGCCCAGATGCATCCACTCCTTGTGACTTATGATTTCCAATGAAACTGTTTTGTTCTTCGTTATTACTCTTCCTTTGTCTTACACCTCTGTTTACTGTCTCTATTATGCTTTTCTTATACTTTCTTCTTTTGCTTTGTGTGCTACATGGAGTGTGGCGACTTGAACTGCCGTATATATGTGGAAAGTTCTATGTCGAAAACAGACTGACAGACTGAACTTCACATAATAAACGTGACTCATTGCCAACTGGATGGAAGTGCAAGTAGTTGTTGGGTTGTAACGCTCATTGAAGCTAACGAATCGATTCACAGCCTTTAATCTAATTAAAAATAGCTTTTTTCTTACCTCCACCTCAGTGATTAACCTTTCTCCCTCTTCCAACTAACTGTTATACTTCTTAGTACTTTGACACTGTTCCACTCAATTGTGTGATTACATCCGAGCAAATGCAATACAGTGGTCGAGCTATTTTCTAGATTATTTAACTTAGCATGGTTAATCAGTCTAGGTCTAGCTAGATTTTTATGTTCCAATAATCTAATTGATCCCAATCTACTAGTTTGACATATGTAACTGACCTCACAGTCATTACATGGTATTTGGTAAATTATACTAATTTTCTTAATAGGAACTACTAGATCCTTAATCCGACAAGGTGTGTCTCTGAGCCAGTCGGTTCGATGGTTTGAATGCCATCCTAATTCTAGCCTCTCTGAGAATTCTACGTAAGGCTTCTAACGTTCCTTCCTTATGCAGCAGTACTACAGAGGCTTTGAATTTTATTTTTTTATTTTATTTATTTTTTATTTTGATTACAGCTTGATTCCACACTGTATCTTTGGTACAAGTATGGAATTTTCAGCATGGATATCGGTAGCCCAAATTTCGCAGGTCGACCATAGATATCAGGTGTGCGTCGGCGTGGGCTCGAACCCCGGACCATGTGCATGGTCGGCGAGAGTCCTAACCACTGTGCCACCGACGCAATTCCACATTATATTCGTCATTTTTATTGCTTATCGTAGTTTTTCTATGATTCTTCATACTTTATACATTATTGAGCAAATTCTGGGGGGGGGGTGTTATTCACTAGTAATACTTCCTTTATTTGTTTTACTTCACTACTTAAATCTTCTGCCTAACCAATTAGGCTCTTGACGCGATTATAAAGACATTTAACTAAACCTATCTCTACCGATTGTGGACGGGATGAATTAAAGTCCAAGTATTTGTTAGTGTGTGTCGGTTTCCTGTAAGTGGTAGTGTGGTGAGAGCAGGCTGCTAGCCAATTGGTAGACATTAATTTACGTCAATGTCTAGGTCACTAGTATTGGCCGTGAGAAAATATGAACAAGGCTGATTCAACAACCAATCACAGCAGACTTAACGTGGGCAAATAAGATTTGCAGATGTATGGCTTAACTTTCCGAGAAACCAGAAACAACCAATCAGAAGACTGTGTTTGTCTTCTTGAATAAGCTCTAATAATGTACATGAAATATATATAAATACGTGCTGATTTCCGTAATGAAACGATCTGTTGCCGGCCCTTGTTACACTAGTATCTAACCCAGCATCTTGTTTTCGTTTTATTCTACAGTCTAGCATGGCTAACTCACCCTGGCTAAAGTTGACAGGTTTATGAGTGGCAATAATTTATGCTCAAAACCTTGTCATCCAGTTGGTAATACTGCATCATTACTGTGTAATATTCAAAATAAGCTTTCTAATATGGAATTACATTCTTCACACTTACATTGATAACTTAATCGTCTTAGGCGTATGTACGACTATTAAGTTAGAATGAACGTCCTCTTTGTCATTATACTCTTTTCAGAGATGCGTTTGGAAAGCGTGCGCTTTGTGCGGCCAATATAACTAGCTCGACACGAGCAGGTGAATTTATAAACACACATTGAGGTGGCCCAAAGCGGCAGTTTATCCTTCACACATCCGTTGATCATTTGTCGGCTGTAGAAATTGATACGTAGCTCAGCCATAAAAAAACCTTTCCTCAGTGATCTGCATAAGCGATTCTTCAGGATCTTAGCTGCGATATCACCTTTAAATTCAACACTCATAAATAGCAGTTTCTTCGGCACCGTCTGGATTCTTTCAGGCTTTTCCCTTAACTTCATGTTTTTCTCGACAAATCTTGGAGGATATCCATTTTCTATGAGAACTTGTCTGAGTCGCCCCAGTTCCTCATCGATTATATCACTCGAACATATCCTCGTTATTCTTGAGGATAAGGAATGGATCAGATTTCTCTTTCTTCTCAAAGGGACCCAACTATGGAAATTTGTGTACTGACCATTCCATGTTGGTTTCCTGTAGATCGATCTTTGAAGAGAACCATCAGATCTCCTCGTTAGAAAAACATTCAGAAAATGGAATTCCGAGTTAATCTCTGATTCCGATGTGAACTTGATGGCGTGATGGCTGAGATCCTGAAGAATCGCTTATGCAGATCACTGAGGAAAGGCTTCTTTATGGCTGAGCTACGTATCAGTTTCTACAGCCGACAAATGATCAACGGATGTGTGAAGGATAAACTGCCGCTTTGGGCCACCTCAATGTGTGATTATCCTCTTTTGTTGAGGCATGGAACTGTTTTTTTAAGTGTGTGTATGTGCATATGACGTGATTCATTACCAGGTCTTGCACAATTCTGTCTCAAAATCTTTCCTAATAATTAAATTTTCGCTCTATTTTTTGTTTGCAGGCAATTGACGATACTCCAGAAACAAAACGTATGCGAACTGATGATAATATAAACAACTCACCTAAAGCTGACAAATCATTTGGTGATCAGTGTTCAACATATTTGACGGAGCCATGTTTACGCAAATTTCAAGCAGGAAGTTATACACTACTTTCAGATGCTGATATGCTGAATCAAGGTTGGCGAGTTGAGTGTATACTACATATTCATGGATATAGTAGTTCTAATTGTGACGATAAGGTAGATAATAATCAATTCACTTGGAATTCTACGTGTGGTGGACAAACAATTTATGTAGCTGATGGTGAAACAGAGGAAGTAAGATGTGTTATAAGTTATTTTTTTGAGTGAGTTTGCGGAAGGGAATGTGTACCCCTGAAAAAGAGCATTGTTAATTTATAAATCTGGTAGCGTTTTAAAACATTTTGAAATTGTTGTCTTATAGTTTGTGCCACGATTGCAATACTGTTTAGGTGCCCAAACCGTAGCAGATGGTTGTCTTAAGAGATCACTCTCGAGCCTTTGACTTAGAGTCGAATCCAAAAGGCAGTGGAGGAGCAGCTTCCTTTCCATGATTGTGGGTGACCAAAACAGGTGCATACATTGGAGATTGTTGGTATGGCAACTTGAACTTCTGCACATTTGTGTAAAGTCTTACTCTGGAAACCAAGGTAATCAATGACGTAGATGGCGATAAGAATAATGAAGACGGCATGATAATGCAAACATTCGAATCGATAAATTGGACCAAGGTCTTATAAAATTAGAAGTTATATAATGTTAGTAATGTTGGTATACAGATTATCAAAGTTTAATTATAAATTAGACTGTATGAAAGGGGGGGATGAGAGAGTTCACTGATAGAGTTATTAAAAATGTCGTAGACAAGGAAGAGACAAAATAAGGGTAAATTTTTTGTGTGGTCACAATCTAGGATTGTTCTCTCCGATTCACTTAGCTTCGGCTCTGTGTATTCTGTTGGAATGCAGTAAATAGCTATGTGAACACTTCCATCGACTTAGCGAACACTGTCAATGCAATTTTACACAGTTGAGCTCTTTATCGATCTAGTTTCATTATTCCCAGCCACGAAGGTTGGTACTCAGTAATGCATCTGTTAAATAGCCTATGTAACTTTCGCCACAAGAGTAGCTAAATTTGTAAATATACATAAAAGTTGCACAGCTAGATAATTTATCTTTCGCCTTAGCAATGGTAATCGGTAAGATGAGAAATAATAAATAAAGAAAGGTGGCCGATTGGTGGATTCTGACTAGCAGTGGAATCCAGGATGCGCGTTTCGTTGAGACAATGCTCCCTAGATAAGTGAATGAAGTAACCTCTTTCAAATCCCTCCCGTTGATGGTGATTGGCGATGGTATCGGCGTTGCATCATTCCTATTAGTCGATGAAAAAAAGATTCAATGATCCCTCCTCCCTTCCATTTACCTATATTACTTTTTAGCGTTGTAATTCTGTCCCACCCCACTGTGTGATTGTGTATGCATTACAGTTGCTGAGTTCTGCTCTAAACTACTCATCTTCCCTGAAGTTAATCATTCTTCATTTACCTGAATTCATATGCTCCGTTAACGTGATTGACCCCGATCTACTAATCTGATCTATCCACTTGAGCTCACAGTCATTGCAAGGTATTTTGTGGATCAAATTATTTTGTCTAATCAGGTTAATAGGGTCATTTAGCCTACAGAGCTTATCTCTGAGTGAGTTTGTCTGTTTAAATGCCACCCCAATCCCTGCCCTATTAAGAATCCTACTTCGGGTCTCAGATCTCCGTAGATGTTTTAAATTCCATCTTATTTATCTTCTGTTGTTTAATAGTTTGACTAGATATGTTATTGTGAGTTGCTTTGAAGTTCCTAATGAATTTTGTGGAACATAATGATAATAACAGTCCAATTTATCTTTATTATATCATAACTGGCGACATTCAAACTTTGTTTGAAGAGAAGTTCTGCTTGAATTTGGATCTGTAAGAAAACCCATAGTGATACCGTCTATATGTCTATTGTAGATTTCATAGAATGTGCAATCTATATTCATGATACGTCATCTTGGTAATAATTCCTTGAGGATAATTTCTGAAATTCTGACATTGGAAAATCAATTCCATCATTTGCGCCAATGGTACATTCATTATCCAGTTGTGAAAAGATATCTAACGACATCATAGACTTTCGATTGACATTAATATGTTCAAAGTTGAAAGTGAATTCGAAAATATCTTTTTACGACTTATTTATGCCAAGATTTCGGAGTTCCAGCTAAACATTTAAGAATGCGGAATCACACATGTTTAAGACGAGGTGATAAGAGAGTTCCTGGTTTGTATGTTTTAAGCAGACAGACGATGCAATTTTGACGTGTTATTTCCATTGAGTTTTAAAGAATCGTAGAGCAGTCAAAGAGATAACGACTTTTGTTTTAGTTGTTTAGGAGCGGTTATCAGCTGGTTTCCCGCCTTTTGATTCAAATCTAGCGAGTTACTAAGCTTTCAGATATGTATCATGCATAACTCTTAAGCATCTACCTCGATATATCATGTTCATGAGTATCTTAATCCATGTAGACACTTATTGATGGTCGATGCCGTGTTAGTGGGATGGAAGTTGTGGAGTTAGAGATATCGATGACCACCGGCATTTATATCGATCAACCTTAAGTCATATTACTCAGTAGTAGTAGCACAGATGCATGCCCACATTAACTTTTAGTAACTTTTATATTTGCATAATTTCACTTAACGTGTCTTCTTTATTTTCATATTATATAGTATTCATTAAATTCTTTTATTTTGTGATTTCCGCTTATATTTTCTCATTGATATAAAGGTGTAAAATGTGGCACTTTCATTACGTCTAGTGGTTTTTAGTGTCTACATGTTTTCTGTGAGTTAGATGAACTGCAAAAGTTTTGTCTAACACTTTAATTTATTCATGTTTACTATTTTACGTCCATATATCTGACTACATTGGAGTATGTATGCTTCAGTTTAGTTTATATTCTCCTTGAACGGATACCTTCATATTACCAGGATTAATAACTCCAAGATACTCGTTTTGGTGTTGACTGACATGTTTTACCCTACGCTTAGAACATGTCAGTTGGATGTACTTTTTCCTCAGTGGGGGTGGGGTGGGGTGGTATTCTCATTGAGAGTGAAGCTGAATACGAATTGTCTCAAATGCCAAGGTGTTGCCCACTAATCCATGAGAACAGTTTGTTTTTGGTGAAATGGCATTTTTCTTTTTACTTCTGTATGCCTAAAATTCACACAAGTATTACATGATACGATTATCTTGTCATTTCTTTCAATATAGAGTTAAAAGTGTTGACAATGAACGCTTTTTGTTAGTGTAGCCTGACTTAAACGTGAGGTGAGCTCTTCTTCATAAGGCTTTGTCAAGCGTGTATTTAATTTTTTTTTTTAAACTGAATGATAACCTTGCATTTACGCATGAAGTATTTCTAGAAAAATATTAATTTTTATTAACTGTTAATATTTTATACACACATCCAGTTGCTTACAGTCACACCATCGGATAACGCTTTAACATTAGTTTACGTGGATTCAAGTACTACAGGTTTCCTGAAGTATATCAAGAAAAGTAGTGTTGGTGTTGGTGTCGATGTTGGTGGTGGCGGTTGCGGTGGTGGTCGAGCTTCTCTAGAGAATCAAGGCGTCAAACAATCTAGGCGTCATAGTAATGTACCGTCTACTGGTGATAATCATCAGCATACTGTTAAAAAACCTGTTCAATTTTATGATTTATTTGTAAAATATTTTGATTCTACAACAAACGAGGAAGATGATGACAAGATGAACAGTGTTAATGCTGAGGAGGAAGCCTCTGATGACGAAGTCACTACGAGCAGTAGTTTAAACGATGATAATGATAATAGTGTCGATGATGATGATGAGTCTGCTGTGTTATCGCCTGATGAAAACCATGATGACGCTGGTGGTGATGACGAAAATCAAGAAAGAGTTTAAGTCGTAGACTTCAGATTGAATCAACTTGTGTGTGTGTGTATGTATATATATATATATATATATATAGAGCCACTTGGTGTAATTATGTCATATTTTTTTGCCTAAACCAATAAATATAACATCTTGGTTTTCATTCATTTTCTTTCTTCCATTACGTTTTGTTTTTACTGTTCAAGTACGGTCTATTTATTTAAAATCAGGAACATTTCTGAAGCAATTACACTAATCTCCCTTGTATGATCGAATTACTGCTGAATTTGCACTTATACATATATATGACAAAAATCTTTGTAATACAATAACTAGAGTATGCGGCGAAAAGAGAAATAGATTATGATCTGCGCAAAACTACAGAAGACAGTCGGCCTTATCTGACCGACCAGCCAGGCTCGGTCATATTTAAATAGTGAGGATTGATTGCCACTGTGCATACATCTGTCTAGTCATAGAACTATATAATGCTACGTGTAACAATTTGCTTATAAAGGTAACAACACATTATATTCCGTGTAGCTCTGTAGCTTTTGAATCGATACAACGTAAACAGATTTAAAGATCTTAAATCTTAAAGGCTTATTCTTGTCAACATATAATGAGCAAATATTTGTGTGTGTGTGTGTGTGCGTGAAAGTACTTCTGTTGACATAACCATACTTTTATGTGAACTTTTGAAGTATGTGTTGTAGAGACGTTTGCTGTTGTATTGATTCCGTTAACCAAAGAAGCCAGCATTAACTAGATCATTGCATTGATTATTTTCTATTGAAATCTGAATAGTTCCTAGTATGATAATTGCAATGAGTTTACCTTCAACGTCGGTGATAAAAAGCAAATAATGTTTTTAATGACTCAAGTAAAAACTTGGTTCAAGCAGTGATGGAAACGATATCCCCTTCGTTCGTTGCTCAATTCATATCACACTCAGTTGTTAACTTCATTGCATTCATTGATATTGTCACTAACAAAAAAAAAACAAACATAAAAGTTACAGCATGAGTTGAAATCAGATAGGAAACCAGTGAAAACCCTGGAGTAATTGACATCAGTGCTCGTTCTACTTTTAAACTCTTCAGCAATGCCAGTATCGCTATAAGTTGCGAATTTTCAGAAGTTATGATTAATGGGCGACTGGATTCCGTCCAAGTGACCGAATAGTTAACAGCCTCACTACATAACCTGTAGGTCCTGGTTGCGATCCCCAGTGGTTGAGATCATAATTAGGTATTGTTGAAGAGTCCAGAAACTTGAACAAAGCAGGAACCCATTATAGCCCAGTTTTCAATGGTCGTCTGACTGATGTTAGTCTGTGACGTAATTGAAACCAGTTAAATCCCTAGAGACCGACAGCATTTTAAAAACAAATTAAGTTAAAATGAGCAAGTTAAGCACACCTCTTAGTCGTATTTTCATGTTTTTAACACCGATGTATACAGGACAGTCATGACGACATTTAAGTGATATTATAAATATGCGTATATATATATATATTCATTGAAAGCAAAACACAACCAGTTTTTTTTAATAAATTTAAATAGAATTATTAGAAGAAGGAGTCTACTCGGAAAATATGATGTATTTCTGCATTACATCTCGTGCCTCAATCTGGTCACATACACACACACACACACGTCTACTTGTCAAATCATGATATACACTGTCGACGATTATAACTCCATTGTGGATGAAATTTTATTTTGATAAAATCACACTGTGTTATACAGTAACATTTACAGATAATAACGTTTGAAGCGCAAATTATTGCTGTACATAATCATATCAAGGCAATACTCACAAAACTGTCTTGCTTCATTTATATACACATGAGTAAAAGTTGAGGCGTTGGTGTTAAGTAACTATCTTATAAAATTCATTAAGAATATCAAAAAACGACAAAAGCGAAATTATAAAAAATAACGGTGAAACTAATAATGATAACATGATTAAGAAAGAAGATAAGGCATCTACAGTTTTACCATATAAGAAGAGGACATCTGAAACTCTACGGAGGATTCTCAATAAAGTGAGAATTAGGGTGGCAATCAAACCTACAAACTCACTCGGGCTAGGACAGGCTCTGCAGGTTAAAGGAGCCTGTGAGTTGACCCAATTAGTCAAAATAATATAATTTACAAAATACCTTGCAACGACTGTGAGTTAAGTCAACTGCATAGGTTACAACAGAAGTAGATCGAGGGTAGTCAGGTTGTCGGAACAAAAAAATCTTACTGAGGTTAGAATGATTGATCCCATGAAGATGAGTAATTTAGAAAAAAATCTCAGCTACAGCACTGCGTGCATTCACACACAACCATACAATACGCGGGGTGGGACAGAATCAAAATTGTAAAAAGTAATATAGGTAGGTGGAGAGCGAGAGAGATTGATTACTGAATCATGCCTAGTTCATAGAGTTTACACCCAACACATGCAACAGAAATTACTCAACGCAAATGTCAGATATGTGGAAAATATCATTATGGGTTAAAGCAGAGGATAATAAAGACTATTGAATTGAATTTTTGATTTTCCCGTCGATTAATTGGACCGAAGTGCTCGGTCTCAGGTTGACATGTCGGCTTCTTGTGCAGATGCTTCGACGATGTCTGGGTATTTAGTTAGTATACAATTGTTGGATGGTGGCTAGCAGTGGAATCCAGGATGCGCAATAGGACGAAATGCGCATCCTGGATTCCACTGCTAGCCACCATCCAACAATTGTATGATAATAAAGACTGTTAAAATATATTCAATTCACATTCTAACAAGTTACTTATTTTTACTATAAGAACATCCTATTTCCCATCTGATTTTATTTTATTAATAAGACTAATATTATTTTCGAATGTACTTTATCTTATATTGATTTTATTCAACTGTCTAATCAATTTTTACTCATGTATATAAATGAAGCAAGAAAGTTATGTGAGTAGTGCCTTGATATGATTATGAGCAGTAATAATTTGTGCTCGAAAGGTGGTGATCAGTAAATATTACTGTACAACTTTGTGTGATTTTATCAAAATAAGTTTTTATCCATAGTGGAGCCAATTAAAATTAACAAAATGTTAGAGGATTTAGGAATATTTTGAAGGATAATAACTCTTGCTAATACAATCACATAAGGATTATCAAAGTAGGTTGGGGTTAGGGGTAGTAATAAATTGTTTTTGTACACATACAGACATGGGGGCACCTAATCCTACGGGTGGCTACCGCCTCAAAGAATTTCAGTATATGTCCTTGACAGTTTCAACAGATAATCTTGGAAGGTGTTCTAGTATCAATCCTGTGATTCATGCCAATTAAGTGTTTTGCTGTAGACGGAGTTAGTAGTATGTCACCCGTGTTTGTCATAGCTCAAATGTTTTTCAAGGCTATTTGGGTTTACTTTCTCCCAGCTTCACTTGTCGATCGTGATTACGCCTCCTTAGGTATGTATGATCACACACACACACACATGTTAATCGCTATGCAGAATAAGATGTAACATTATCACTTGTGCTATGATAAGGCTTTTAGTGTAGCAATTTTTTTGGCTTTATCGGCAGCTAAAAGCTGGGTTGCTATGTAGGTTTTACGAGAAACCAACCAGATTGACTCAGAGCATTTAAATCCTACTGTTTATTTCCTTCTTTACTGTAAGTTGATTTGATGTAGAGATATCATTCTTTGGGATTTGAAACTAACCCCTGCACTGGTTCAAGGAAATCCTGAAGATATCAATTTTTTCGTCAAGTGTATATATCATTAATACATACACACTTTCAATTTAATGATTGATGGGATCAGCTGTACATGTACTCTGGATCCTCTTCAATAAGCACGTAACCAAGCCTGTTTTATATTGCGCTGAATAGAAATTATGAAAATTTAAATACTTTCCTAACCTATCCAAATAGGTTTTTGTATGAATGGAACTCATTATTGTACCACCCTCTCTCCGACTCAAAAGTGTGTCTAGGTAATTAAGTTGCTTGTAACTTTCATCCTCACATGTAAAATCCGTGTGGTTTTGTACGGTAGACAAGTCGCAGAGATAAAATTGCGTATAGTGGATTGTCAACTATATGAATCTTGAGTAATTCTGAAAAATGTCGGTGACCTGCTTAAATTTGGACTACCGAAAAATCTCATCGATATTTCACAGATATTTTTTCTATTCAGTTTGTTTAAATCTGAAAAAATCTGCCCTTTAATTACATTTTATACTCTGGTGAGTATTTAATGTACTTACCACTTGCTGATTCACAAGTTTCTAGTTAACGTTAGGAAAAATATAGTCGTTGGTTCGGGCGTATTAGAATGCAAGAGATAGCTATTCTTGGATTGTGTCCTTGGTTCACAGAATGGATTCCAGAAACTTTTCTAATTGACATTCAACTAAATTACATGCACTGACCGAAGCAGACGAAGGAGAGATATCATAATCTCTTGATATGGGCTTCATATCAGGCAGAAGTGATTTACATCGTCTACAGTTACGTGATATTTTACTTGAAGATCCTGGATGTGGAGAAAATATCACACAATAAACAATGCTGAAAATTTTGTACAACATACAAACGCACTACAAAATAAAGCTATTTTTATTATTACAATCAATTAGTCAGATCCCATGGGTTTCATAAAACTGAACTCTTCCTAATCACCGATATCCGTAGTAGAGAGAAGACCGGTAGTTCAGTGAAGAGTCTCTTTCACCGGTGAATTCATTTTCAAAGTTGTACAATCGCAAATATATATGGTTATTTTGTATGTGTCTGTGCATTAAATTAATTCAGCAGTGTCAAAAAGGGCCACACTATCGAGCGTGGTTGTAGAAAGGAAGTAGTGGCCGTATAAGGAGTGCAATAATCCAACATCTCGTCAACACTGGTCATTCCATCTCAACAAACGTCTCCTGCTTCAAAGTAATCTACAAAGTGAAGAACAACCTGCCAAAGACAATACGTTTCCGTCTTCTTCGCATTTCAGAATCCCTAGACATTCAGTTAGAAGAA